TCTGTGGTTTTTGTGTGTAATGCTGCATCCAGGATTGCATGCACACATACTCACTTACACAAACATGTGTCTGATAAATCAAAATAATTCCTTCTCTTGCCCAGGGAAGAGGAGTAACCTGTAACTTTTAATGGTTTTTAGGTCCAAAACAAAGTCATTAAGCTAGGCATGGTTTCTATGTGTGTGCATGCCTTCGTGTTGTGTGTTAGCTGACCCTTTAATGATAATAAATGATTCAGACATTAATGTGTAGATTTATGTGTATTTATGCTTGTGAGAACCAATCAGTCAGGTTTGGATAATCTCTTTGTGACTGTGGCCAAGTTTCTGTTTACCAGGCAGCTAAGCCATGTCTGTTGTGTGCCGCTTTAGACCTCCCATGGCTTTTGTTTTTCTTACCTGTCTCTGTGAACCTGATAGTTGAACCTAGCGTGTGTGTGTGTGTATTTTGTGAGCATTTGCTTGAGTTTTGGCGGGTTCTTACACTTGTTTTCGCGCTCTGGTTGAATGGGAGCATTGTGTCATGTGCAGACTGAGGGCCGTTCACATAATCACGTTCATGCATTTAGCACAGCAGATTATTACACTATGAACAAACTTTTTTAAAATGAAAACTCCTTATAAAGGGTTAGTTCACCCAAAAAATGATAATTATGTCATCTTTTACTCACCCTTATGTCATTCAAAATATGTGGCTGACTTTCTTCTGTTGAGCATAAAAGAAAATATTTTGAAGAATGTGGGTAACTAAATGGTATGGAAAAAAATACTATGTAAGTCAATGGGGACCAGAAACTGTTTGGCTACCCACTTTCTTCAGAATATATTTGTGTGTGTGTGTGTTTTCAGCAGAAGAAATCAATTCATACAGGTTTGGAACAACTTGAGGGTGAGAATTTTCATTTTTGGGTGAACTATCTCCATAATGTTCGGTTTCCTTTTAACGCGGCATCTTAAAAACACAGAATTCATGTGGTCAAAGACATGCATCTAGTGCATATTTATAAAAACAATTAAATACAGACAAGGCAAAAACGTGTTCTGTCACTATGATAAGGATCCTTGTGGAAAAAGTATACATTAGTATACATTAAAGAGTACTTGTGAAAACTTGAATATAATATAAACTGAATATAATATTTTTGGACATATAATATTTACAGTTTGCACATAATTTACATAATTCTGTTGTCTTTGAAACATGGTTACTGACACGTGTACTGACAAGCATTTATGGTAAACTAAAATAATGTATACTTTAATATAATTTCTGTTGAAACCTTTGTCATGTTCTTAAATATATTTGTAATTATTACACATTTGTAAAGTTGTAATTTAGTAAATGTAACAGTAAATGCATTGGTAATATTCTGCCAGGACATTATCTGTTTCTCTATTAATTTGTTTTGGTTTTTTTTACAATATAGTGTGTACTTTATACTTAAGTGACCTTTCATTTTATTAATATAATATTTTCCAAGTACAGTCTTTTAAAACAAATGCTTTTAATATTTGAAGTACACTACGAGTGCACATTCAATACAATTAAGTGCACTTTTTCACAAGGGGAGTTATGAAATGATTCTTGATTTATAGTTGTTTGTTTTAGGGCTCCTGTTCTTAGGAACATTACAGGTGGAATGCAGTGTTGTAGCTTCCATTTAAGTGCTTCTGTGAACTTAAACCTACAGGACAGCTCCAGTGCTTAGAGGTTGCTATTTCATAACGCAGAAGACCTAATGGCGCTCGTATATTTCAAGTAGTAACTTTTTAGGTATCTCAGATCAAATGTCTCTCCTAGGGATCTTCTCCTTAAAGGTGCAATAGGTGATTGTCTTCAGAAACATTTTTTGTTATGCTGGTTGAAAGTCTCTTCACATCCCGATAGCGATCATTAAGTTAAGTGGTCTAAATGTATTTGTCTGTATTTATATATTCTGTGGAAGGCATAGGATCAAGAAATGTTCGTCCAATCAAAACGCTCGGTCCGAGCGTTTTAATATGCTTTCCTACCTGCCTGTCAACATATGTATTAGCATACCTCTGTGCACCAGGTTCGCGCAGACAGGAGTTTTTCTCACCGGTGAATGACACATGCCCAGCCCAGCGGTTAATCCAGTCCTTGCGCCAGCTCGTTAGAAGTGAGCTACGTGCATGAACTGTGTTCCGATCGATATGATCCCTACACAGTGTTCATTGCTCCCTACTCCCTGAGCAGGGGAAATCCGTTTAAGTTTACTTCACTTCGGAACATGGGCTGGAATTGGGAACCGCTGATGTAGCCTATTGTAGTAATGTTGTCTCTGGTATTCTGGTCTGTGAGTGTAAATGCGTTCAGGGGGCGTGGCTTTGGACGGCGATTGCAGGGAGGGTGGGACGTTCGCTTTCAGTGCTATCAGGCTAAAGTTAGCATTTTCCAAGATCTCCTACTGCACCTTTAAGAGAAATAGCCTAAATTTAACAAATGAGGCATGTGCTGACATACAGCATGTGTATAGAGTTAGAAATGAATGTGACTATAGCTCAGATGTTATGTTTCTTATCGAAATCTCAGACATTGCAGAATTTGTGTTTTGGTAGATCTGAGCTCAATGTGATTACTGGGGTCTTTTTCCTCAAGAGAATAATCTAAGCAGGCAAAAGTTCAATACTTTTACCTTTAAAAACACAAACTTCTGGTTTAACTGATGGTTTTGATGCCTTTTCTGACATTACTGGCTTTACCTGTCCTATTGTGGGCCATAACACCCTAAAGTTCAACTCCAGATCTTATCAGTTCAAGTTCTGAGATCTCAGTACACGTATATATATAATATGGGAACTGTGTATGTGTTAAAGGCAAGACTGTATTTGTTTAGCATTTATTTTGTACCAAGGGGAAAGAGAATTTAAGAAAATATACCAATTCCAGTATCTCACTGTTCTGTGATTCAGGGTTATTATCGTTAACTATAACTAAAACTCAAACTAGAACCATTAAAAAAAACATTACTTGAAACAAAATAAATAGTAACTAAAATAACACAAAATATATATAAAAAACGTAATCTTATTTAATTATATTTAATTTCTCATTCTCACTTAGTTTAGCTTTAAGTATTAAAGTAAAACTAAAGAAACTACCATTTTTACAAAACATTTAAAAAAATGTATAAACTAACTAAAATTAAAGTGAAAATATAAAATCGAATTCAAAATATTAACAAAACCTATAAACCTGTAGTATATCAAAAATACTAAAATAAGACTGCTGTGATCTGTGTTTGCACTGTGTCTGCGTTTACCAAAGGAGAAGTTTGATAAGAACTAAAAGGTTCCTAAATACAGCCTGGACCTACAAGAATTCTTTCTGAAAAGCATACCAAAACAATGTCTGATCGACACACCACACCTGTGTGGCTGGACCGAACACCTGTTTGTCTTTTACAAGAGACCTTTAGGCACATTTGTTGGACTCTGTAATGCTGATAACAGTTTACAGTATGTGTGTTATCAGTGCCTGTGTTATTCGGTTCTGAAGAGATGCATTGCTCTATTTATGAGAATAGAAACGCTTCAACATACCTGCCATTATAGATATGTGATTCTCTAATCTTATATGCTCTATTTAACCTGCGTTCTGATCCTAATGGGTCATAAATTGACCATATTCTCAGAAGAACTCTGTTTCTTTTAGTTTTAATCTGTAAAGGTTCCTGGGGGCATTTCTGAGTACCTCTAAGTATTAATGGGAATATTTTTTCCTAGACACCCACCCTCAGTAATGGCTTGTTTTGACCGTAGCAGATTCAAACCAAAGGCAAAATTTGAAATGCAAAATAGCTTCACCTCAAACTCCCTTAGACCTCTTTTACCTTTCAGTTTGCCTTCCTGATGTCACAACATGAACAGCAATGCAAGAAAAACAACAACAGCTGTATCTGTGATATTGTCATCAGATGCTCAGTTTGAGATTTCTTTTGCATTAAAAATAGGGCATAATGTGCAGTCAGTTAGCAATTATTGTAAATAATGACCCCTGTCAAGTTATTTTTGTGACAATACACAATTGCTGTTCATTATTCTAGTCATTACAAAGCTTCTTACTACATAAATATATAAATGGGGATGAAATATTCAATATTAGCTGAGATCATACAACTATTCCACTAATTACAAGGATTCTTATACCACATTAATATATAAAGGAAATATTAAATATTCACTGAAATTGTGATATAATCAGGTGATGCATGTTTTCTATTTTTTTTGCATTAAATAAGGCATAATGTGCATTCATTCGGTCATTACTATAAATAATGACCCCTGTTGAATTATTTTTTGTTAATATACAATCGCTGGTCATTATCCTACTAATTACAAAGATTTGACCACATAAATATATAAATGGGCATGACATTTAAAATATTAGCAGAGAACACTGAGTAATATTATAGATATTATGTATTGAAGCAGTCATTATGCAAAAAATATTTGAACATATGTATTTAATGTATTATATACACTACTGTTCAAAAGTTTGGGGACATTTTTTTTTTTGGAAAGAATTTAATAGTTGCATTCAGCATGGTTGCATTAAATTGATGAAAAGTGATTGTATATTGTTAGACATTTATATTGTTAAAAAAGATTTATATTTCAAATAATGTATCGTGGTTTCCAGAAAAATATTAAGCAATATTTCTTGAGCAGCAAATCAGCATGTTAGAATGATTTCTGAAGGATCATGTGACACTGAAGACTGCAGTAATGATGCTGAAAATTCAGCTTTACCATCACAAGAATAAATTACATTTTAAAATATATAAAATATATTAAAATAGAAAACAGTTATCTAAAATTGTAATAATATTTCACAATATTACTGTATTCTGGATTAAATGCAGCTTTGGTGAGAATAAGAGCATCTTTCAAAAACTTAAAAAATTCCATACTTTTAAATGGTCGTGCATTTGTTTTTTGTTACAATAAATTCACTCTTTCTCTCGCTTACTTTACAGTGTGTACAGGCACACAGAACTCACTGAGTGTGACAGGAAGCTCTGAGGTCCAGTACAAACTCATGAAAGAGATGTACACGGGCTGCAAGATTGTCATAGGAAACCTGGAGATCACGCAGATGGAGCACAACCGCGATTTCTCATTCCTACAGGTGGGGGAAATAGTCCACATTTGTAGGATGTAACAAGAGATCAGGCCACTTTTGAATAAAGCACACGTGTGCATGAGCTCACAGCAGTCCAGCCTCATGTCTGAGTCTGTATGTCTATTATGTTTCATTTTATGAATGTGTAACACAACTGCTCTTCACAGTCTATCCGTGAGGTTACGGGCTACATCCTCATCGCCATAAACCAGTTCAGACATTTACCGCTGGAACAGCTGCGAGTCATCCGAGGGACGTCTCTATATGAAGATCGCTTCGCTCTCGCCATCCTCGTCAACTATCAGAAAGATGGAGTGTACGGACTAAAGGAGCTGGGCCTCACACACTTAACAGGTGCGCTCACACATACGTGACAGGTGACACATTTGCACCCACAGAAACACATTCTTTCAAAACGCCCACGCAGTTTCCATGGCAGCAAGACTTTCTGGAGGGTGTGGTGTGGAAGAGTGAGTCAACGGACAGAAAAAGATTTGTTTATGTATGTGGTTTATTAAAAGAATTCACACACAAATGAGAATGATCACATCATAAACCCAAACCTAGACCGACACATACTTGTAGAAAAATCCTCTATTATATTGTTCCTCGCGATAAATTCCAGGAGATTGACGTTAGATGGCTACAGTTAGGCTAGAGCATGTCCCGACCTGCTTCAGCAAACACAACACATTTAGTGTGAAATACAATCCAAGTAGTTTTATCTTTCCATTGTGTGTCTGTGAGTGTGTGAATCAATGAACATGTTTGTCATTTTTTCCATCGCCCTTCCTTTAACCTCTTGCTAATTCTATTGTGACTCAATGTGTGGAATCAATATGAATGTTAAATCTGAGCACGGTATATACTGTACTTTATTAATAATGTTTGATTACTCATAGGTGTTTTTCAAAATTTCTTAGCATGAATATTGGCATTTGTGCTATGAAATCACGCCCTAACAATCACCTAACAAAACCTTAGCTACCATGTGGCATCGACTTTTCCATGGTGAAACACCATGGAAAACCTGAAATCCTAGAAAAGATTTTTCTTTGTAAAATCTCTTTGCGTTTATATATTATTTTCTTTTTCTGAGAGTTTAGAGGACAGGTTTCAAGTTTTAACTTCTACAAAGTACCATTCTGTCTTTGATCTTATCTTGATATTTCTATATTTCTCATATTTGTTGTGATCTGCAGAGATCCTGGAGGGCGGAGTGCAGATCATCCAGAATAAATTCTTGAGCTATGCGCCGCAGATTAACTGGCTAGACATTGTGAAAGACAGTGGGGCAGAAATCATCATTGAAGACAACGGATCAGAATGTAAGGAGACATAAAACTTGCTTTTAATATGCGTTTTGTTTTATAAAAATAAAAATATTGTGATATATTGCAATTTAAAATAGCTGTTTTCTATTTTAATATATTTTAAAATGTAATTTACTTCTGTGATGCAAAGCTGAATTTACAGCATCATTACTCCAGTCTTCAGTGACACATGATCCTTCAGATCCTTCTGAAATCATTCTAATATGCTGATTTGATGCTCAAGAAGTGTTTGCTGCTTAAGTTCAAAAGAACAGCATTTATTTGAAATAGAAATATTTTGTTACATTATAAATGTTTTTACAGTCAATTTTGATCAATTTAATGCAGCCTTGCTAAATAAAAGTATTAAGCTCTTTAAAAAAAAATCTTACTGACCACAAACTTTGGAATGGTAGTGTATATATTTATAATGAATAACTATTTATATAAATATTTATAATACATTTTAATAAATAATTGTTATCAGAGGATCATATGTTGTCTTTTCATAGATCAGGAGGCATAATGGAGTTCACTGTAATGTTTAGCTGAAGATTTTTTAAAGATATTTGTTTTGAATGTGTAGCCAAATAGATTTTTACTTTGGGTGATGATCTTATGGAAATGTATAAATTATAGTGCATTTTCTGTTTAGCTCCCTGTCATGAGTCTTGTGGGGGTCGGTGTTGGGGTCCTGGAAATGACTCTTGTCAAATCTGTAAGTCTTTGGAAACTCAGAGCACACACACACACACACACACACACACACACACACACACACACACACACACATATTTGTGGTTTACGGGGACTCTCCATAGGCGTAATGGTTTTATACTGTACAAACTGTATTTTCTATCGGCCTACACCAACCCTACACCTAAACCTACCCCTCACAGGAAACTTTGCATTTTTAGATTTTCAAAAAAACACCATTTAGTATGTTTTTAAAGCCTTTTGAATTACAGGGACACAGGAAGTGTCCTCATAAACCACCTGCATATTGTTATACCTGTGTCTAGACCCATGTCATTATACAAATGTGTGTCCTTAAAAACCACCCAAACCAGTACACACACACAGACACACACACACACACACACATACACAAACACACACACACATACACACACACACAAACACACACTGCTGACTATTAGTTATTCAACTTTCTGTATCTCACACACACACTGCTGACTATGTTTCTCTCTCATTCTCAGTGACTAAGACAGTGTGCGCACCACAGTGCAACAGCCGTTGTTTTGGCCGCAGCCCGAGCGAGTGCTGTCACATAGAGTGTGCCGGAGGCTGCACTGGGCCGCTCGACACCAACTGCTTTGTATGTTCAACAAACTTACACCAGTTCTTGGACATGTGTTGCAATAACATATCAGATTCATGAATCAAACCTTGCTTGCTTTGACTTGGGTGTCTGTGTGTTTACAGGCCTGCAGAAATTTTAACAACTCGGGGTCATGTGTGCCGCAGTGTCCTCAGGCTCTCATCTATAATAAAGTGACGTTCAAACTGGAACCGAATCCTAATGCAAAATACCAGTATGGCACAATATGTGTATCACATTGTCCTAGTAAGTGTTTCCCTGGGTTACATGGAGTGCATTTACCTGTAACATAGTATTAAAGGTTTAAACAGAATGTCCCACTCTCCCGACGGGACCTAAATAATAAATAAATAAAAATAATAATAAATAAAGAATTTATTGTTTAATTCAGTAGTTTGACATCCTGCCTTTATACTTACTTGCTCTGTTGCTCTTGTACTTCAGCTAACTTTGTTGTAGACGGAAGTTCGTGTGTTAGCAGCTGTCCAGCAGACAAGATGGAGGTGGATAAAAAAGGAATGAAAAGATGTGAGCCGTGTGGGGGTCTCTGTCCGAAAGGTAACATGCACACTTTGTTTACCCAATTATCTAAAAGGCATACCATAGACTTTTGTTGTTTTTACACTACTGATCAAATATTTGCCATAAGTATGATTTTTTTTGTGTGTTTTTGAAAGAAGTCTCTGCTCACTGAGGCTTCATTTATTTGATCAAAAATACAGTAAAATAGAAATATTATTACAATTTAAAATAGCTGTTTTCAATTTTAATATATTTTAATATGAAATTTATTCCTGTGGTGCAAAGCTAAATTTTCAGCATCATTACTTCAGTCTTCAGTATGTATCACAGTAAATTCTTCAGTTTCCACAAAAAAAATTAAGCAGAAAAAACATTGCTAATGTTTTTTCAACATTGCTAAAAGTAAGAACCATTATAATTAATTGAGCACCAGTAATAATCCATAGTAATTGAGCAGCAAATCAGCATATTAGAATGATTTCTGAAGGATCATGTGACACTGAAGACTGGAGTAATGGTGCTGAAAATTCAGCTTTGCATTACAGGAATAAATTACATTTTAAAGAAATATGAAAATAGAAAATGGTTCTTTTAAATTGCAATAATTTTTCACAATATTACTGTTTTTACTGTAGTTTTGATCAAATAAATGTCACCTTGGTGAGGATAAGAGACTTGATTTAAAAACACTAACAAATTTTAATTATTCCAAAGTTTTCACCTATAGTGTATGTAAAGCTAATCATAATTACTACCAACTAGCTCCAAAAAGTTTTTTTTTTTTTGCATTTTTAGGAAAAAAAATACTTTCAAAAACTCTTAATAACTATGAACAATTTACTGATTTTCCTGAATGTAATACTATTGTCAATATTTACTGTTGTCTTTTTCTTAGTCCTTTTGAATATCCACTATATGTTCCACCTTTGTTCCCTGAAGGAACTGTTTCATTTTTAACATTTCTACACAATGTGCTAAAAATTACAATGAAGTTTTCTTTGACCTTTTGACCTTTTGTATGCCACTCCTGTATGTCGCAAAAGATGAGTTGCATTCTTATTTCTTATCATTATTAAGAATATTTATTATCATTATATATTCACTGGTCATTGAGAAACAAGCACAATCTCCTTCATGTCCATCTTTGTGCGTTTTCAGTCATAACTGTGTTCTCTCTGGTTTTTTCTCTTTGCGCAGCATGTGTTGGCACTGGTACACTTTCCAGACAGACCGTAGACTCGCAGAACATCGACAGCTTCATAAACTGCACTAAGATTCAGGGCAGCCTGCATTTCCTTGTAACAGGAATTAAAGGGTGAGATTTGAGATCACCAGGATTTGAGACGCTGGTGATTGAAATGTTCATGACAAAAATACAACAGAGTTCTCCTTTCTTACCCATTCTTGGACAAATTAAACTAGTAATAGTGTGAAAGGTGTTCAAGAAAGTTTATTTTGTAAAAGTCCACTTGGCCAAAAGTGACCCAAGTATAGTTGCAATATGCATCACATATGTTTCAGAAATAGTGACCTTTCTGTGCCTTTCTTTCCTCCACAGAGACAGTTACAATAATATTAGTGCTCTTGATCCAAAGAAACTGAAGATCTTCAACACTGTCAGAGAGATCACAGGTGTGTGTGTGTGTGTGTGTGTGTGTGAATATCTTTGCCATTTCTTCTGCCCTCTCTGTACACCATTCAACTCACTCTTCTGTCCACTTGACAGATATTCTGAGTATTCAGTCTTGGCCTGAAGAGCTGGAAAATATTTCTGTTTTCTCAAATCTAGCAACAATACAGGGAAGAACTCTGTACAGGTGAGCATACCGCCCATCCTCTGTTTGTTAGTCATTTAGCAGTCTCCTCATTTCTTAACGCTTAAATGCATCAGTGTAAACAAAGCATTCATGTTATTAGCAGTGCTTGCACTGTTTGTGCTACAGACATGAATGATACCGGCTTAAATCATTCAACTTGTAGTGGAGAGGTGTGCTATCACTTTTCTAAGTGATTGGATTTGCCTAGCCGACAATTAAACAAAAAATCCCTTACTTACATTTAAGTTGGGACCATATTGTAGGGATCAGAATATATTGGCTGGCTTTTTTGACTTTGACCAGTACGCGACAGCCTAGCTATGATATATTATCATAGTACTTAATAATTTTTTTAGTACTTTTACTCAGCAAGGATGCATTAAATTGACCAAAAGCGACAGTAAAGATGTTTATAATGTTACAAAAGATTTCTATTTCAAATAAATGCTGTTCTTCTGAACTTTCCATTCATCAAAGCATACTGGAAAAAAGCTGCAACTGTTTTCAACATTAATAATAAGTAGAAATGTTCCATGTGCATCAAATCAGCATATTAGAATTATTTCTGATTTCTGGGTCATGTGACACTGAAGACTGGGGTAATGATGCTGAAAATTTAGCTTTGCCGAATACATTTCATTTGTAAATATATTAAAATAGAATATTAAAAGATCAAATATGTCAAAATAGAAAACAGTTTTTTATATTAAATATTACAGTTTTTACTGTATTTAAAAAAATTAATAAATGCAGCCTTGGCGGCATTGGAGACTTAAAAAAAAAAACTTTGAATGGTAAATCTAAAGGAAAATATTAATGCTAAAAATAATTAAGAATAAACTGAACTCACTAACTGATACATTTCTGAACGAAACATATTCAGTGGGACTTGATTTTATCAATTAGGAATCTATACATTTTTGCATTTATCTTAACATACATTAATGAATTGTGCACAATAAAACCAGCAACTTGAATAAAAAATAAAAAATTAATAAATGGGTCAGATCATTTGATGTTGACTTTAAGAACAATGCAATTTAATTTGTAATTTTTTTTCCAAATGACCTTTTCACATGTTATCTCTCAGAGGTTACTCGCTTTTGGTGATGAAGATTCCTACGTTGAAGTCCCTGGATCTTCGCTCACTGAAACGGATCGGTGACGGAGGCATCTACATCACGGGAAACAAACAGCTCTGTTATCATCACACTGTTAATTGGACACGTCTGTTCGGGAGCGGCCCTCGGGCCCAGCGCCGCCAGAAACCCCTCGACATCAAGGACAACCACCCACAAGAGCAATGCAGTGAGCACATATGCTGTACTACCAAAAAGTTTCAAATGGACCAGTTATGGGTTGTCATTAGGGAAGTGGTTTTAAAGGGGTAGTTCACCCCAAAATGAAAATTCTGTCATTTTTACTCACTCTCATGTAATTCCAAACTTGTATGACGTACTTTCTTCTCTGAAACACAAAAGAAGATATTTTGAAGAATGTTGGTAACCAAACGGTTTCAGTTCCCATTGACAAAAAATACAATGGAAGTCAGTAGAACTGTAACTGCCTGATGAGCTTCAAAATATATTCTTTTGCTAATTTTAATTTTTGGCTGGACTATCCCTTTAATTCTGATAGTGCCATCAATTTAAAGACACAACTTCTCTTGAAGAGGGTTCTAGCTTAGAAGTCCTCTGGAATATGTTGCATATTAAATGTAAAAGAACATTCTAAAAATATTAAAGATAAAAAAATATCATTATTCATTATTGCTAGTTAACAATTCATTATTGCTGTGTGTTTGTAGTTGAAGAAGGGCATGTGTGTGATCCCCTGTGTTCATCTGAGGCCTGCTGGGGTCCGGGACCCGAGCAGTGTGTGTCTTGCAAGAACTACAGCAGAGGAGGAACATGTGTACCACAATGCAACTTCCTGTCAGGGTCAGTATAGGACAATGGCTGTGTCTCATTCTGCTCTCCAGTTCCAAATTATTATTATTATATATTTTTTTACATGCATCTTCATTGTAGCAGTTAAAAAGTGTATGATAGGTGCTTGTAACTAGGACGTAAGATTAATGTGTAAATTTGGTGCAATTAATTATGGAAAAAATAACACATTCAAATGATATTATTATTATTATTAAATATATATATATATGTGTGTGTGTGTGTGTACAGCTAACTGATGTGCGTCATGAATGTATCCGCGGTTTTTAACGAATCGAGTGAGCCAGTGATTCAGTGACTTATTCATAAAGTCAGTCACTTGCTTCATTTCTGAATGAATCAGCTGTTTAAACGAATCGGTTGAATGAATGACTTAATGATTAATTCACTAAAACAGTGACTTGCCGCCACATACTGGCGGTTTTAGTGTCATAGCGTATCATTAAAAAAAATATTTTCATATTTCAATATTTATTATTATATCATATTTATAAAAAAAACATGAATATGCATTTATTATCATTATTTATTAAAGGTTTCCTATTTTTTGTAATGTCTGTAAGAAGCTTTTCTCATCTAGCACAATAATGGACTTCAATTTTGGGTAGTAATTAACTGGCACATAATGTAATTAATTAGATTAAAAAAAAATACTATTTGTAACCTGTACAGTATGTTGACTAAGAGACATTTCCAGTGTAGTTAATATATTGAGCAGTCTGGAATGAAAATTTCAGTGCACTGTAATGAATTTACAACTGAAATAGCGCTAAGAACTGCACTCCCTAGGCAGTGAACAAGGGAGTGGACTGAGACACACCCAGTGTGTGTTCTGTTAATATACGTGCTGTAGAAAAGGAAACAATATAGCGTATGATTTAGTACTGTGAGAACTACAAGAGATTTTCAGACCCCTGAATCATTTCTTTTGATCTGTACAGTGAAAAACGTGAGTTTGCCGGAACTAAAAAAGAGTGTATGCCGTGTCACCAAGAGTGTGCTGTGCAGGACAGCAAACACACCTGCAAAGGACCGGTAATCTATTGTTCTCTGAAAGAATATCACTCACTGTTTGCACGGATTGTTTGATTTATTAAATCATCTCTCCATCTTATTCTTCCTGCAGGGTGCTAATGAGTGCGCAGCCTGTGCACATTTGCAGGATGGGCCGTACTGTGTGTCCTCATGTCCAGAGGGGGTTCAGGGGGAAAATGGACTCATCATTTATAAGTTCCCCAATAGCCAGCACAAATGCCAACCGTGCCATGCCAACTGCACCCTGGGGTGAGAAAGCTCAGAATGTCAAAAATTGCAATATATTACATCAAATAAAGTTTTAATATGTATATAATGCACATATTTTATGCACATTTTAGTTTTAGTTATGGTTAGCAATTATTCAAAAGTTTTTACAATAAAATTCAGATTGCCTGTGGGGGATAAAATAAAATAAAAAAAGAGAGAGAGATTTACAGTAAATGAGGAACTCTGAACTCTGTTTTTGAACTCTGAGATATTAATTTTTAATTGGTTGTGTACATTAATTTTAATGTACACAACCATTCCGAAATTTGGGGTTAATAAGATTTTTTAGAATCCCCCCCCCCAGCATCATTATTTCAGTCTTTAGTGTCACATGATCCTTCAGAAATCATTCTAATATGCTGATATGTTGCTCAAGAAATATTATTATCAATGTTAAAAAAGACACGCACATGCACATATTGCCTACATACACTAATAATATATTATATACACTAATTATTTGTGTTACAAACGTCTTAAAAATAAAATACACCGATTTTTATGCACTTTAAAATTTTACTTATGGTAAGTGATTATTCAAAAGCTTTTCTAAAAACTATTGCCTACATACACTAATAATATATTATATACACTAATTATTTGTGTTACAAACGTCTTACAAATAAAATACACCGATTTTTATGCACTTTAAAATTTTACTTATGGTAAGTGATTATTCAAAAGCTTTTCTAAAAAAAATTCTGTTTGCGTGGTGGGCGATAAATGAAAAAAACCACACAGATTTACAGTAAATGAGGAACTAATGATGTTACAAAAGATTTCTATTTTAAATAAATGATGTTTATTGGAACTTTCTGTTCAATTAAGAATATAAAACTATATGACGTTTCCATAAAAATATTAAGCCGCACAACTGTTTTCAACATTGATAATAATCAGAAATGTTTCTTGAGTAACTCAGCATATTAGAATTATTCCTGAAGGATCATGTGACACTGAAGACTGCAGTAATGATGCTGAAAATTCAGCTTTGCATCACAGGAATAAATTACTTTTTAAAAGATATTTAAATTTAATAATATCTGTAATAATATTTCACAATATTACTGTATTTTACTGTAGTTCTAATCAAATAAATGCAGCCTTGGTGAGCTAAAGAGACCTCTTTCAAAAACTAAAAATTTGTCCCGACCCCAGACTTTTAAAATTAGTGTATGGGTTGCTCTGTGATAATAAATGAATACAATTACTGTTCATTTCATTTCATTTTTGATCGTTCATAGTGGCTTTTAGAAGTCGATGACTATTTGTGACCCTGGACCACAAAACCAGTCATAAGGGTCCATTTTTGACCGAAATTGAGATTTATACATCCTCTGAAAGCTAAATAAGCTTTCCGTTGATGTATGGTTTGTTATGATAGGACAATATTTGGCCAAGATACAACTATTTGAAAATCTGGAATCTGAGGGTGCAAAAAAATCTAAATATTGAGAAAATCACCTTTAAAGTTGTCCAAATGAAGTCCTTAGCAATGCATATTAGTAATCAAAAATTAAGTTTTGATATATTTACGGTAGGGAATTTACAAAATATCTTCATGGAACATGATCTTTACTTAATATCCTAATGATTTTTGGCATATAAGAAAAATCTATAATTTTGACCCATACAATGTATTTTTGGCTATTGCTACAAATATACCCCAGCGACTTAAGACTGCTTTTGTGCTCCAGGGTCACATTTGTATTACACTGTCAGAATGTTAACCATTCATTAATACATGTACAAACATTCAAAAACAGCCCACATACAAAATGACATCCTGAATGACTTCTTTCTCTCTCGCAGCATATGTTGGCTATGGGGAGTCTGGACCACCCGTATATAGTCCGGCTCTTAGGCATCTGTGCAGGGCCCAGTCTGCAGCTGGTCACTCAGCTCAGCCCACAGGGGTCTTTGCTGGAGCACATCCAGCAGCACAGTGAGAGCCTCAACCCTCAGAGACTGCTCAACTGGTGTGTGCAGATTGCCAAGGTGAGAGGGACATAAAGTGTATTTTGAGGTATTTGGCTAATTTCAAGCCCACTTAAACAACTAAAGTCTTTCCTTGCTTGCTCCCTCCTAGGGTATGTACTATCTAGAGGAACAGCGAATGGTCCACAGGAACCTGGCTGCCCGCAACATTCTGCTCAAGAGCGACTTTATTGTTCAAATAGCCGATTATGGCATCGCTGACCTCCTCTACCCTGATGACAAGAAATACTTCTTCAATGAAATTAAGGTAAAGCCGATCAAGTTACACTATCAGTCAAAAGTTTGAAATAATAGAGATTTTTCAATGTTTTTGAAAGAAGTCTCTTGTGCTCACCAAGGTTGCATTTGCTTGATCAAAAATACAGTAAAAACTGTAATATTCAGTGTCACATGATCCTTCAGAAATCATTCTAATATGCGGATTTGCTGTTTGAATTTTTTTTTTATTATCATCAATGTTGAAAACAGTTGTGCTGCTGCTTCATATTTTTGTGGAAACTATGATACAGTACTAAGTGTAGGGTTGAACGCATTGAATTGATTAAAAGTGACAGTAAAAATATTTATAACATTACAAAACATTTCTGTTTTAAATAAATGCTGTTCTTTTGAACTTTCGGTTCATTAAAGAATCCAGAAAAAAAAAAGAATTAAGTGACATTTTTTTTTCAATATTGAGAAATGTTTTTGAGCAAATCAGCATATTAGAATGATTTCTGAAAGATCTTGTGACACTGAAGACTGGCGTAATAATCACAGAAATATATTAAAATTTTAAAGTATATTAAAATAGAAATAGTTATTTTAAATTGTAATAATATTTAACAATATTACTGTTTTTACAGTGCTTTAATCAAATAAATGCAGCCTTGGTGAGCATACTCAACCAGTATCACTACACTGTGCCTCTGACCTTTTTCCTAATGTTTGCAATTTCTAGATGCCAATTAAGTTAATCGCGATTAATCGCATCCAAAATAGAAGTTTTTGTTTACATTATACATGTATTTATATTATATATATTTATTATGTATATATAAATGCACACACATATTTTGAAAATATTTACATGTTTATACATTTATATATTCTTATATTTTATATGATATATAAATATATTTAATATATAAACATAACATATTTTTCTTAAATATATGCATGCATGTGTTTGTATTAATATATACATAATAAATATACACAGTATATACACAAATATTATGTAAACAAAAACTTTTATTTTGGATGCATTAATCATTTGACAGCACTTAATAATAATTTTTAATAATTTTTGTACTTCAACTTACTTTATTTCAATTAGTTGCAAGGCAGCATTTCTAAATGTTTAAAGGGGTCATATGATGCTGCTAAAAAGAACATTATGTTGTGTATTTGGTGTAATGAAATGTGTTTATGCGGTTTAAAATAAAAAAACACATTATTTTCCACATACTGTACATTATTGTTTCTCCTCTATGCCCCGCCTTTTTGAAACGCGCCGATTTTTACAAAGCTCATCGGTTTGAAAAGCGAGGTGTGCTGTGATTGGCCAGCTATCCAGTGCATTGTGATTGGCCGAATACCTCAAGCGTGTGACGGAAATGTTATGCCCCTCACCATATTGTGTTGATGCCGTGTCTGGCCGGAGCGACGAGACAATAACATTAAAACCCATTACAAACGAGGCATTTGTTGCATCCAGTGGGGACATAATTACTGATTATAATGACGTATATTGTCTTTTTACGCGTTGCGTTGCATCGCGCCGCGTAAACATAAAACCCTGTCTGCATTTGTGATCAGAGAAATGACAAACAACAAGCCCTACTCTACACTGCTCAAAACTCGCGTTTGAATCATCAGTGGCAAATCATTTAAATGAAAACGTACTTACAGTCTGTGAGTCAGAACAGCCGGCATTGTAGTCTACTCT